GTATTCTACCACTGAGCTACATCCCCAGCCTTTTCTAAGTATGTATGTATTTATTTCCTTGCTTGTTTGTTTGTTTTGTTTTTCTTAAGACAGATGTACCTGTAATTCAGGCTGACCTTGAACTGGCTGTGTAGCCCAGGCAGGCCTTGACCTCAGGGCTATCTTCCTGCCTTGGCCTACAAAATGCTGGGATTACAAGCTTGTGCCACCATGCCTAGCTCTAAACTTTATTTTGAGACAAAATCTCCTTAAGTTGCCTAGGCTGGCCTCAAACTTGTGATCCTCCTGCTTCTGCTTCTGGAATAGTGGGGATATAAGGGTGAATCATGAAGCCCAATTAACTATTGATTTTTATGTGTATTAATTCATTTAATTATCACATCTAATGGTCTAAGTGCTGTTTTCCCATATCATAGATGACAAAACAGATGAAGAGAAATTAAATGACTTACTTGAGGTAACATAATAAGTGCTAGAGCTAAGCTTAGATACAGGCAGTCAGGCTCTTCATTTTTCTTTTGTCTTTTCTTTCACCAGAGATCATCAAATTTAGCACCTTGTACTTGTGAGGCATGCATGGGTGTCCACTGAGCTAAATCCCCATCTCTCTGTTTTTCATTTTTAACTTCTACATTGTAGTCCTTTCAAGTGCTAAAGTTTGTTTTTCTGTCTCTGTTTAGAAAAAGATTATTCAACCTTTTTTTTTTTAGTACCAGGGATCAAACTCAGTACCTTTCGCTTGTTAGGCAGGCACAGTGCCACTGAGCAAAATCCCTGGCCCTGGAAAAAGATAATTGAAAACTCGACATCTTTTAACCTTTATGTATGTATCACCAGTATTTATATATTTTTTAAGTATGTATATTTATCAGACTATAGTCATCCTTTTTCATGTAGTTCATTATAGATGAATGTTTATTAATAATGACATTTTAAGGTTCAATCAATTTGAGTCTGCATATTAAAAGGCAATAAGTAGTCTTGCTTGCATTTCACAAATCTTGTTTTATGGATTTAATTTTGCAGATTTGTATCAACTGTCACATTATACCTTTAGCTATCTTGGCTGATCATTTTTTCCCTTGATGTCCTTTAAAAAAGATATTAGAGCTGGGTGTGGTGGCGCATGCCTATAATCCCAGCACTCAGGAGGCTTTGGCAGGAGGATTTCTGTGAGTTCAAGGACAGCCTGGGCTACATAGTGAGTTCCAGGTCAGTCTCAACTATATAGTGAGACCCTGTCTCCAAAAAAAAAAAAAAAGAGATATAGGAAGCAAAGATATATTGGAAATAAAGTACCAGTGTTTTTCCTCCTGGACTGGGGTTGAATCCAGTGTCTTCACACAGTTACATCTCTCTCTCTTTTTAAAGGTTTTTTTTTTTTTAATTATGGAATGGGGTATTGCTAAGTCAGTTAGATTGCCCAGGTTGGGTTCATTCAGACCTGTTTTCCTGCCTCAGCCTTCCAGATGTTGGGATCACAGGCATGCACCAACATGTCTGTCGGTCTTTTTACACTGGGTTTTTGTACTTTAAATTCTGTGATAGAATTTAAAACCCAAAACTGTAGTCTGGCTTTTGAGGTACTCACTCTTCTCCTCAGTTTATCTTTGTATCACTTTTGAAAAGGAACTCTCAGAAACAGAGAGAGACCATTGGTTCTTCCTTTGGATCCTTCTGACACATGAAAGGGAGAAGCAGAAGAGAATGACATGGAAAGGAAGAACAGTATGGTCAAGTGTTGTGGCATCCTAGACAAGGGAAAAGAAAGCCATATTGACATGGATAATGTTTTGGTTTGTGGTGATCACTGCCTATTAATAAACACAGCTCAAATGGAGTTCTGGAATCTGACCAATCACATCTCTGTTTTTTGAAGGACAGTGCTTGGAGAGAGAATAGAAGAGCTTGTAGAGATAGAGGCCTTTCCTCTTAAAAGGCCATATCCACTTTAAGATTGAATTGTCTTGAAATCTCTCTCTGTCTCTGGTCTCTGTCTCTTTATCTCTTTGTCTCTCTATCTGTCACTGTCTCTCTCAGATAAGGACTTGTTAAATGGTCCAGTCTGGTCTCCAACTTGGGATCCCCTTGCCTCAGCCTCCTGAGTAGCTGTAATTACAGGCCAGCTTGAGTTATATTTTCTGTTTCTTCTCAAAAGAAAAAAAATTGTCCAGTGCGATAGTATTGATAGTGACTTTTGAGCTGTTTGTTTTTAACCATTAAGTTTATTGGTACATTTAAGGTAAACAATACAGTTACATATGTATTGCGATCTTGTACCTTTATTTAAAATTATAATTAAAGTATACTGGCAATATAGTGTTATGGTAGAACCTTGGGCTTAATTGGTGGCACTTGAACCCAAGAAAACAAACAAATAATAAAACTATTATAAAATTTTCTTGAAGTCTGTTAGTAGGGAGCTTGTTGCTTTGTATTGTTTTCTCTAGGTGAGCAAAGGGGAATCTTAGTTGTAGCTGTTTTGAATGTATCAGCATTGTTGAAACTGCTGCTTTTCACCTTTATATCAAATTCAATTTTAGATTACTTGTCATAACCCAGGTTTCATTAATTCCTGCCACTAGTAATTTTGTGTGTGTGTGTGTGTGTGTGTGTGTGTGTGTGTGTGGTACCAGGCAGGGTATTAGACCCAGAGCTCTTCTGCACTGAGCTCCATTGCCATCCCTTTTTATATTTTTTATTTTGAGACAGGGTTGCTGAGTTGCTCAGGCTAGACCCAAACTCTTGAGCTTCCTTCCTCAGCCCCTCAGAGTGCTGGAATTACAGGCATGTACCATCATGCTAGGTTAGTAAGTTTATTTTAAAGGGACAGTTTACTGATGGAATCAAGAAGTAGTGTGTTGGGCTGGGGATTTCGCTCAGTGGCACTACATCTGCCTCATAAGCTCAAGGTCCTGAGTTTGATCCCTGGTACTTGAAAAAAAAAAGAGCTCATAAGAAGTAGTGAGTTAATTTGGTGTGATTTGTAAACTTGGAAAATTTCTGATGTGTAGAGAAACTCAGTATTGTTTCAGTTTGAGGTCTATCACTGTGAAGCTACATGAAGTTAAACACACACACACACACAATTTACCAAAGATACTTTTCATATTTTAATAAAAGTGAAAATACTGGTGTGCTTTTAAAAGAACACTACGGTTAGTCTGTCAGTTCTTAGATTGATTTGACTGTTGCCTAGTATTTTTATGTTGAGCAAATTTTTCCTCCTCTATTTATTTACCTGTTGATGACATTGTATCCAGTTGACCTGCAGCTTTGCTCTTTAACTTATAGCAGTTTTAATGTGCTTGACATTGGCCAAGGCAATAGAAAAGAAAGGAAATAAGTTCCTTGCATAACTCATTGTTAGTAATTGATATTTTTCTAAACTTTTTTTGTTGTACTAGGGTTTGCATATGATTTGGAATGTTTTCACAGGATACATGTAATGAATTAGGAATTAGCTGCCCATGAAAGATGGGGAATATTATTTGGATAGGTTTTTTTGAATCTTAGTATTCAGGTGCTGTCTGTTGAGATACTTCAAGTAGTATTAGTATTCTTTCAGTATTTGCTCAAGAGATATATTATAGTATTGCTTAGTTGTAGACTATTAGCACTGAAAGGCATTTGGATGTTAGAGGTCAAAAACCATGTCCTTCTACCTTACTCAGAACAATCCCACAACAGGTTTATATACAACAAGTCAGGTGCTGTATTTGTAGCATAGGGACTATTCTAAGAGTTCACTGTAGAAGTATTTACTGTTTCTTTAAGAAAGAGGGTCATGTGCTTGGTTTACAGAGTAGGTAGGGTTTGAATAGATGAGAGAAGAGCATATTAGGACAGAGCAATAGTAGTACATAGAGCAAGGTATTCATGGGGCAACTTTTGCTAGAGGCTTTGAGAGAGGAAATATCATAAATAAAACTGGAAATATGGATTGGATCAGATTATGGATTGGATGAAATTAGAATAGGGCTGGGCATGGTGGTACACATCTGTAGTCCCACCTACTCAGGAGGCTGATACAGGAGGATCGTAAGTTTGAGGCCAGTCTGGGCAACTTAATGAGGCTGTATCTCAGAATAGGGCTGGGAAAAAAGCCTGGGAATGTAGGTCAGTGGTGGAGTGTCTTGAGTTCCATATCTAGTACCAGAGGAAACAAAAAAGAAATTTAGAATGGGGAATAGGTTTGTGTAATGATTTTTCCATGATGAGTAAGTTTGTTTTTGTTTTTGTTTTTCTTCTGAATAATAGTATCTGGAATAGGACAGGTTATATATATTAGATGGGGCAGGTAAGATTGTGAGAATGATCTTTTGGACTTGGGCCATAAGGGATCATAGGGTTCTCTTTAGATAAGATTCTTCTCAGAATAAAAGGAAGATGCAAGTACAGTATAGTTTTATTTTGACTCTAGTTCATTACTTGCATATAAATTTTGAATTGGTTACTTCTGTGATCATTTTAAATAGATAATAGATCTACATTTAGAATTTGTTGTGCTTATTTTTTGCATTCTAAAGAATGCTGATCACATGGTTTGGTTTGGTTTGTGGTACTGGGCATCGAACCCAGGGACACTCTAACACTGAACTATAGCCCCAGTCCTTTTTATTTTTTGAAACAGTGTGTTGCTGACTTGGCCTGGCTGGCCGCCACCTCACACGCTCTGTCTCAGCATCCTGATTAGCTGGGTTTACATGCTCGCACCACCATGTCTGGCTTGGTTTTTTTTTTCAAAAGACAGGTGGGGTCTCATCATGTTGCCTAGGTTACCCCCAAACTACTGCACTGAAGCAATCCACCATTCTTGGCCTCCTGAGTAGGAGGGACAATAGCTGTTTGCCACGGTGCCTGGCTCAGTCTTGTAGTGTTTTCTTTCTTGAAGTGAATAATATTCATGCCATTCATTTTTTTTCTATAGACTTTTTGTTTTGTGGTGGATTCATTTCTCTTTGCAAAGATCTGACTAATGCGCTTCATTTTATTTTTAGTTTGACCTTGGCTGAAGAAAAAAATTAGCCTGTATGTACTGCTTTAACCACTGGAAGAATGACAGATGACAAAGATGTGCTTCGAGATGTGTGGTTTGGACGAATTCCAACTTGCTTCACTCTGTATCAAGATGAGATAACTGAAAGGGAAGCAGAACCATACTATGTAAGTGTGTTGATGATAGCAAATGGGATATTTAACTTTGTCTGTTTTTATAAATAAAATTCAGAGAACATGGAAGCTGTTATCTTAATATTTTATATACTACTACATTGGTACCTCAATTCATGAACTCAAGTCTCTCCACAGTTCTGATTACAAACCCAGTGGGACAAGAACTGAATCAGATTTCCCCGTAAGGTCAACATTGAACCTAGCTATTGAATTTGATTTGATTTTCGTCTGACTCTGTGACCAGAATCATGGCAAGAATCAAGTTCGTGTACTGAACTGAGGTACCACCGTAATCCATACTTTGGCAAAATATGAGCAAACACAGATAAGCAAATGTGATGAAATAAAAATGACCTCTAGTCTTGAGTATAAATCCACTGTTGATATAATGATGATGCCTTCTTGACTTTCTTTTTCTTATACATATGTGCATCTAAGATATATGACAGTGGAATTAGGCTCGGGATGTAGCTCTGGTAGAGCATCTGCTTACCTAGGTTCAATCCCTATCACCTCTGAAATATATCTTTCTATTTATTTACATATATGTATATATGTATGTATGATAATAGAATCATAAGCTATGTGCTATTTTTGAGTAGGAACCTGTTTTGAAGTAATAGATTCAGATCGTATTCTTTTGTATTTATGTAATTCCAAACAACTTATTTATTTATTAATCTTACTGAATTTATTGGTACTTTTTAAATATATAGTTCAGTTACATTCATCATTGGGATCTTGTACTCATACATGACAGATGTTGGTTCTCATTTTTTCCAGACTCCTGCCCTCCCTTCACCCACTCCCTCCTCCCCTATTTACATAGACTTTGTTTCCATTTTTTTCCTTTTCTCATATTTTTTCTTGTCCCTTATTTCCTTTCCCCTACCCTTCCCACCTCCCCTATACCTTTAGCCCTTTTCTTCCTATTTCACATTGTCCGTTATACTATTTATATACAGTTATACAATTTACACTTTTACACACAACTGATTTATTAAGTATTTCTGTAGTTCAGTGGACTTACAAACACACATGCATATACACATTTACATGTTCAGTGAGCTAGTATATACATGTAAGCTAAAATCTAATGCATATTTAATACATTGCAGCTAGGGATATAGTATAATTGTAGAGTGTGTGCTTAGCATGCCCTCACATACATATAGTATAGATGCTGCAATAGACTTACACGTTTTAGTTAATGGATTGTCTGATTTTACAAATGAGTTTTAGATGTGTATCTTGTGACCTTAGTGTGCTTCTCCCTACAAATGCTTGTGTAATTTACATTTATGTGTGTCAATGAGAGATTATAATATCCTGCCTTTTTCATGAGTAGTCCCCTGTAGATAATCATTCTCAGTTGTTATTCTAGTTTTTCCCTTTTATGGCTTAAACACACATACTACTGTTCACTGGGGGAGAATGTGGAAAAGAGGAAATACATTTATAATGATGAACTGTTTCTTCTGTTCCATGTAAGTAAAGCTTGCCCTTCGCTTTCCCTCTTGCTGAGAGGCAGCATTGCTTTATACCCTACTCCTGCTATGGGAAGCCAGATTGCTGAAGGAAACCAATTTAGTCCATCCAGTCACTTTTTGGACATAGAAACTTTTTGTTTTTTGGTCTGTATCTTTAGCATCTGTATGTAAGTGGCAGATAGTCAGTGCATGAAAACAAGTGTCCCCAGTCTTACGTTGGGATTCTGTTTGAAATCTCCTCTTTGGATTTTCTACTAGAAATGATAATTTTAGAGAGCTTGGGTAATCTTGTTGCTGGTACTGAAGTTATTTACATTTGAATAATTTTAACCTTAATGATCTCTATAGATTTGTCTTTAGAAAACCTTTCTCAGTAATAAAATGTGATTGTAGTTTACTTTTAGAATAATTTCATTTGTTAGATGTGGGTTTTTTGTTGTTGCTGTTCTTCTCTAATATGTTGGGATACTTTGTATATTTTGTTTCCAAAGATTGCTAACTTAATTAAAACTTTTAGGTCCAGGAATTTAGCTCAGTGTTCTTCCACCTGCCTTGCAAGTGCAAAGTTCCAAGTTTGATCCCTGGTACCCCCACCCCAAAAAAATGACTTTTAAGTTGGTCAAAATGACAACATATGAAAAATGTTTACTTTTAAGTTAGAATTTGGTGTTTGACATATTTTCTGTACTTTTAAGAATTCCACATAAAAATACAGGTTTTTTCTTCTTTGTATATGTATCTTTAAATATGAAAAGACTTTAAGAAAACTAGAGTGTAAATTATTTTCTAGCTGATGCTGATGAAGTTTAAAATGGCAAAAATGTTGGGCTAACTGTAAGAGGAAGGATTATTTTGTCATACAGCTAATTTTTTGGCCTAAGTTCTTCCTAATATTTTACCAAAACAAAAGACTGTTACAAGATAAGATTGAAAAATACTGTGAATGTTTAAATTTTAAAAATTTATTACAGTAAAAAATGTGCTATTAGTCTCCCTTAGAATACTTCCCCTCATTTTGAACACACTCTCCCCATTGTTCTTGCCACTTTCTGAAGCAGTTTTTTGTGAGTGTCTTTGGTTGTGTTGTCATGGCTTCTTCAGTGTCCTGAATCAGCTCAAAACATTTACCTTTCATAGTCATTTTGATTTTGTGGAAGAGCCAGAGTGCCAGTATGGGGTTTTATGTTGTTGGATAAGGCCACACTCTATTATGATCCTGACTCTGTTGGATGTCACCCAGCACAAGCATTGACTATATTTTTTATTATATCTTGTAAAGACATGAATGACTTTCAGAACTCCTTTAAAAAGTGACAAGAATGATGGAATAAGTGTGTTTGAAATGTGGTGTGATTTGAGAAAGATTATTAACAAAGTATTTTTTTAGTGTAATAAATTTTAAAAATTTAGACTTCACTGTATATTTTGATTACTTGTATATTATGATTTGTGTTGAAGATTATTGGATGATAAGCATATGCCTAATATTAAGTGAAAAACTGTGATTTAGAACTATGCACCACACAATTCAAATTTTGCTCTCTTTGTTTTTTATTTTGAGACAGTCTTGCTGTGTAGTTCAGGCTGGCCTTGAACTCACTGTGTAGCCCAAGCTTGCAGTGATTCTCCTGCCTTAGCCTCTCGAGTGCTGGGATTACAGGTGTGCACCATTGCACTTGGCTTCAAATTTTGCTCTTTAAATGAAAACACAGTTATGAATTAATACAGAAAGTGTGTACACACACACACACACACATAATATTACCAGTGGCTAGTCTTAAAATTGAAGATGAGCATTGTAGTGCCAATATAGCTGTAGTTTAGATATGTCTTCATTATCAAATTAAGGTAAACTTTTTTTTTTGTACTCAGGATTGAACTGGGTCCTTGCACTTGAGGCAGGCGGTAGAACCACTGAGCTAAATCCCGGCCTGGTGGAAATTTTTTTTACTTTTTTGTTGTTGTTTTTTGTTTTCCTCTCCAGTTCTGAGGGTTTAACCCAGGGAATTCACTGAGTTACTTCCTCAGCCCTTTGTAAAATTTTTTGAGACAGGATCTCATAAAGTTGTCCAGGCTGGTCTCTAATTTGTGGTCCTTTGCCTCATCCTCCCATTGTGCTAGGTTGACAGGTATATGCCATATGCCTAGCTAGGAAGTATTTATGACATTCCAGGGAATGATTACAAAAGAAAAAATACGGTGTATATTTACATTAAAATTTTTCTTACAGTAAAAGACAAATTGCCAGTAATGTCCCTCAAAATATTCTCTCTAGGGACTGGGGCATGGCTCAGTAACATAGCATTTGCCTAGCATGTGGGAGACTCCGAGTTCATTCCCTAGCATTGCAAAAACAGAATATTCCTCTTGCTTCAAACACATTTTTCCCATTGTTCTTGTCACTTTTTTTTGTTTGTTTGTTTTGTTTTTTTGACATAGGATCTCACTATGCTTTTTAGGATGGCCTTAAACTATGTAATACTGGCTGGCCTAGACTGTACGGTGGTCTTTCTGCCTCAGCCTCCTAAGTGCTGGGATTACTAACATGCAATGGGCATCCTTTTTCATGTCTTAATGAGGTGTGTTCAGCAATATACTGAATATGGCTGCTGTGTGCCACCCAATAGAAAGACAGGCTTGTGAAAATGGTAGTGTGTCCGCATCTGCTTTATGACCCAGACCTGTTATCCTGTGACTGTACGGTGGTCTTTCTGCCTCAGCCTCCTAAGTGCTGGGATTACTAACATGCAATGGGCATCCTTTTTCATGTCTTAATGAGGTGTGTTCAGCAATATACTGAATATGGCTGCTGTGTGCCACCCAATAGAAAGACAGGCTTGTGAAAATGGTAGTGTGTCCGCATCTGCTTTATGACCCAGACCTGTTATCCTGTGATTTCTGGCTCTTCTCCAGAGAAT